TTAATTCCCGTCTTTGTCTATCCCTTTGTCTCTCTCTGTCTCTGTCCACCCTGCCCCGTGTATGCATATGGTGACCAGAATCACTCTCTACCTTAGTTTTTGAGACAGGGTCTCTCATTGAACTGGTACTCACTGATTCAGCTCAACTGGATGGCCAGTGACTTCGGGGATTCTCCTTTCTCTACCTCCTCATTGCTGGAATTACAGCATATGCTGCAAAGCCTGTTCCCCCCACCCCCGCCCCGGGTATTTTGGGGCTGAACTTAGGTTCTCATGCTTGCATAGCAAGCTCTATACCAAATGAGTCACCTCTCCAGCTCCTAGTCTTTGCTTTTTATTATGAAAAAGTTAAGCATGTAAGAGCCATATATAAAAAGGTCTCTCCTGGGGTGAGCTGGCCCAGGGTCTTGCTTGAGCAATGTGGGAAAGCTAGCCTTGATGGAGTTGGTGTGGGAGAACTGGTCTCATCCTTTTCCAGCGACAGCTCTTGGAAGAGCCAGCCCCTGAACCTAGAAGTAGAGCTGGACCTGGTGGCATGGGTATAGGAGAGCCAGCCCCAAGGACATAAGAGGAGGAGAGCTGGCTCCGCCTCTAACCTGGGCAGGGCGGGGACGTGGCATCCTAGGTGCAGGAGAGTGGGCAGGCTGAACAGCTCAGCTACCACCCAGGCACAGATCCAGGGTTCTGAGTTGGCCCTCCCAAAAATTTACCCCAGCACTGAACTGCTGGAGCACGTGGCAGGGCCAGTCCTGCAGAACTGCAGCTTCAGGAGCTCCATGACACAGGACAACAACAGGATATCTGAGAGGAGACAGGGTGAGGATCCAGTATTGATAGTGCAGAGAGGCCAGAGGCCTTGAGCTAGTCCAATGACTCACTGTAGTGAACATTTGCAAGTAAAGCTGTTTGGGCAGAGGGGTGTGCTGTTTGATTGTTTTTAATTTTTTTTTCTTTGGCGGGGGTTTTAAGGATGGCGGGCAGATATGGAAGGATCAGGAGATGGGTATAATTAAGGTGCATGATGTGTAATTCTCAAAAAAATCAATAAAAAGTTAAAAAAGGATCTTGCCTGCCATTTGAGGTTTATAAGGTTTGACATCACACTGTTCAAATCATTTTATTTTTTAAAGATATGTATATATATATGTATTTATTTAGTGTGTGTGTGTGTGTGTGTGTGTGTGTGTGTGTGTGTGTGTGTGTGTGTGTGTGGTGTGTTGTGATTGTGTCTGCCACAGGAGTGCAGGTGTCCATGGAGGACCTAAGAGGGTGTTGGCTCCCCTACCCCTGGAGTTATAGGCTTTTGTGAGCTGCCAGACACTGGTGCTGGGAACTGAACACAGGTACACCCGTGTGTTGAAAGTACTCTTAGCCACTGAGCATCTCTCTAGTCCCTAGATATTCCTAAAAGTAAAGAAAACAAAACAAATACAGTGGACATCTAGACAATACCCAGTCCCTGTCTGGTCTTAGTCTCCTGTTTCTGTCTCCAAGGAGTTTCCTTTCCAAAGTTGGTGCTCATGATTTTAAAAATACTTTCTGTGTTGACCCATTGGCAGTCTATTGAGTTGTTTTGTACATTTGGAGGATTCATAAACAGGTGACCACGTGGCCCACATCCTTCCCGATCTTGTTTTTGTCTCTTCCTCATTATAGTTATGAGGAGCATCTACGCAACACTGTAAACATGCAAAAATAAATTCTTTGCAAACAATAGATAAGAGAAAGCTTCCTTAGCTAGATAAAGGGTCAGTTACAGGAATGTTTTACTTAATCATGGGATAGGGAAACGTTTTTTGATAAATTTAAGCAGAAAGTAAAGATATCTCTAGTATAGGAAGTTTAAGTTTCTCTAAAATGAAACACTAAACCTTTAGTTAGGATCTGCAAATGGCACCTCCTTTAAAAGGAGTTTTTGCAGGTGTGATTAAGTTGTGGTGAGGAGCTGAGTGTGTTGGCTCAGGTTTCTTATCTCAGTGCTGGTGAAGCTGAGCTAGGAGCTTGCTCTAATCAGCCTGTGCTACCCAGTAAGTTTCAGGCAAGTTTGGGCTACAGTGTGAGGCCCCATTTCAAAAACTAAACAGGTTCAGTGGGATGGCTCAACACTTAAATTTACTTGCCTCTAAAGTCTGATGACTTGATTTCAATTCCTGGAGCCCATGTAAATATCAAAGGAGAGAACAGACTCCACTAAGTTAGCATCAGTTTCCACAATTGTATGGTGGCTCATATGCATGTGTGGGCATACACACACACACACACACACACACACACACACACACACACACACACACACACACACAGTCGATTTGACTTCTCAGCTTGCCGGGCATCTGTAACCCCAGTTCTGGGATGAGCAGTAGATTCCAGGGTGTTGCTAGACATGCAGACATCCTAGATGAAGCAGCGAGTTCTGTGTTCAGTGAGATTCTATCTCCAAACACAAGGTTGAAGAGTTGGAGAGATGGCCCTTGCTACTCTTGCAGAGGAACCAGCTCCCACACCGTGGCTCACAGCCATCTGTAATTCCAGTTCTTGTAGCTTTCATATGTGCACCAGTGAGACACACACACACACACACACACACACACACACACACACACACACAAATAACTAATATTTTATAAATAAAAACTTAAGGTGAAATGTAATAGATGACATCTGATCTTGACCTCTGGCCTTCATGTGCACACATACATGATGTACCTGCAATCACATATGAAGATGGACACACAGAGAAGAAACCAAAACATCCCTCTTGCTCTTTTCTTCAGAAATAAAAAGCAAAAGAGAAAATCCTACAGCTTATGGAAGGTCAAAGACATCCAGCTAAGACAGTCCTGACTTACGGAGTTAATGTTTGAATTCATTAATGGTCCTGCAGGACTGATCTAAAAGGACAGCCTTTTCACTTCCCTTTCCACATGCGCTTTTGCAAAACAGCCTCTTCAGTTCTTTTCCTCATTTTTTTCTGTTGTGTATAAATTCTTAAAAAAAACCCATAGAACATTGTTTCTGCCTGACATTCGTCAGCAAGGAAGACAAATCTGCTAATCATACAAGAAAACACTCCCTTCTTCTCCTGCATCATCAGCTCTGAGATACCCAGAGCGTGCCATGATGTCCAACGTGTGCCACAATACTCAGTGTGTGCCACAATACCTAGCGTGTGTCACAATAACCCCATGTGCTATGATGTCCAGTGTGTGCCATGATGTCCGGTGTGTGCCATGATGCCCAGTGTGTGCCATGGTGCCCAGTGTGTGCCATGGTGCCCAGTGTGTGCCACGATGCCCAGTGTGTGCCATGATGCCCAGTGTGTACCACGATGCCCAGTGTGTACCACAATGCCCAGTGTGTGCCACAATGCCCAGTGTGTGCCATGATGCCCAGTGTGTGCCACGATGACCAGCTTTTTACACCAGTTCTGGGCATTGAACTCAGGTCCTCATGCTTGTGAGGCAAGCACTTGACCAACTAACTGTCACTCTGGTCCAGATACAGTGAGGTTTTGCAAAGACTCTACTTCCCGTTGGCCAGACCATTTGTCTTTGTCTCTTGCCTGTAGTAATTACAGATGAGGTATTATAATGGTGATTTCCTATTTCTTTCTGCATTTGCTAACTGGAATCCATATGGAATGAAAACCAAATGGACTTTCTGATGGATGTGAGGGTTGTCTTTAATTACCAGCTTTACACAGCCTAGACTCACCTTGATGAGAGTCTCAGTGAGGGCTGGATCAGGTTGGCCTGTGAAATGTCTGTGGGGGTCTACCATGATTGCTTTAACTGACATTGGAAGACCCCACCTGGAAGTGGGTGGCACTGTTCCCTGAGTTCAGGCCCTGGTGGTGCAAGAGTAGACAAATGATCTGAGCACCAGCATGCATACATTCACTTCTCTCTACTCTTGAGGGAGTGTGCTATGGATCAATGTGTCAAGTCCTGCCTCCTTGACTTCCCAGCAATGATAGAGCTTAACCTGGAGTTGTGAACTGTAAAACCCCTTCTCTTCTCAGCCATTTTTTGTCAGGAGACTTTATCATGGCAAAGGAAATGAAACTAAGGCAGGGTATTCCTTTTTAGAGTCCCTCCAAAAGTTCAGGTCTGCAGAATAAATGCTGGGGGCCAGAAGTCACAGAGCTCCCACACAATGCTGTTCTGTCTGAGACATCACTTGGTCTCCTATTGGAGTGCTGATGACGTGGGCCAGTGGTTAAGAGCATGTCCAGCTCTTCCAGAGTGCCCATGTCAGGTGGCTCACAACTGCATATAACTGCATCTCCAGGGGATCTGACACCATCCCTGGCTTCTGCAGGCACCTGCCCTCGGGTGCACATACCCATGCACAGACACGTACCCTTAAGCATTCACATAATTAAACATAATAAATCAATATCAAAGATTTATTTTAAAGTGTATGCATGTTTGCGTGCATGTGAGTGCAGGTTCCAGTGGAGGCCAGGGTGGCAGCTGGCTCCCCTAGAGCTGGGGTTACAGATGGGTGTAAGCTGCCCAATGTGGGTGCTGGGAACTGAACATGTATCCTCCACAAAAGCAGCAGGTGCTTCTGCCCATGAGCCATCTCCAGCCCCATTAGAGTCGTCTTTTGAGTGATGGGCCATTTGGACATAGAGTTTGGATCCTCAGTTCCCAGGTCAAAGCTGGGTGGTGCTGGAGTGTGCCTAGCACCAGGGAGCAGAGACAGGTGGAGCTCAGGAGCTTATTGTCCAGCCAGCCTAGCCATCTCAGGAGCTCCAGGTTCAGTGAAAGACTCTTCTCAAAAAGCAAGATGGAGGGCAGCTGAGAAAGACAACTGATTTTGACCTCTGGCTTCCATGTACCAATCTGTACACCTTCATACATCTACACAAAAACTGATGTACATTCACACCAAACACACACAAACATACATGCACACACCCGTCGTACAGGTATAATGAACTGGCATTGCTGTGGGTGTTTTGGGCTGTAGGGGTAGTGGACAGAGGTTGGCCTTCACTTGCTAGGGCAGGAAGTTTTGGTTTTTTTGCAGATCCAGAAATTCTTGTTGTCACATTTGGAGTCATTCCAGCCATCACCTTTGAACTCTGCACAGTCTTCCTCCCCCAGGTTGTTGGGTTCCCCTTTATTCCAATACTTCATGAAACTGCAAAGACCACAAGACATGAGATTCTGCCCCAGGAAAACCCTGTAAGCCCCTTTCTAGAGTGTGAGTGGCAGACTTGCCTTGCACATGACGTGACAGGCCTGAGTCACTCTGACCTTTGCACCTCACCCATGTCTCCCATGATTGAGAGGACTTGTTTCAAGGAGGGTACGGTCATCAGATGCAACCAAATAAGAGAAAACTCTACACACGTAGCCCCCTCATTGAGCCAGTACACATTTGTCCAGGACTAAACACTAGACAGCTAATGATACAGCTAGGGTCATCTGGGAAGAGGAAACCTTAACTAAGAATACGCCTCCATCAAACTGGCCTGGAGGACAGCCTGTGGGGGCATTTCCATCATTAACGATTGATATGATACGGCTTCACCCACAGTGGGCGGTGCCAACTCCGAGCAGGTGGTCCTGGGTAGTATAAGAAAGCAGGCTGTATGACCTGGCATTTATTAGACCCTCAACTTAAAATTACCAATTAAAAATATTATATCACTAAGATGAAAAAATACTAAGACCAAAAAATATTTCTGGTCTCTCAGGGATCTTGTCTGCCTAAATAGTGGCAGAATGTATGCTTAGCATGTAAGAGGCTCTGGGCTTAATTCCAACACACACACACACACACACACACACACACACACACACACACACACACAGTGAGTAGTGTTCTAGTGTTCCTCCATGGCCTCTGCTTTGGTTCCTGCCTTGCGTTCCTCCCTGACTTCCCTCAGTGATGGGGTGTGACCTGGGTATTTTTAGATGAAATAAACGCTTTCCTCCCCACACTGCTTTTAGTCACTGTGTTCATCACATCAACAGAAGGCTAGCTAGGAAAGAGAGCATCTAGAACCCATCAATACACTTCAAAACACCCCGCCCAAGCCTGCTTGACCCACGTCATCTACTTCGTTCCTTGACAGCACAACCAAGGCCATTGCCCGAGTCTCCTGCCCCTTCTACATCCTGACTTGCTCAGGTCCTTGCCTTCCTGTCACATCAAGTGGTGTTGTAAACGCTCTCTTTCTGGACCTTAGAGTACAATAAGCTGTATGCACATTCTTTTCTTTCGTGTGTGGTGTGTGTATGTGTGTTCCTGAGTGTGTTGGTGCATGTGCACAGCGGTGCATGTGAGTGCAGACACATGCAATCATCAGATTCCCTGGGGCTGGAGTACAGGTTGTTGTGGGCCAGTCGATGTGGACACTGGGAACCAAACTTGGGTCTTCTGGAAGTTTCAGGATTTTTACAGGTGCAGAATTAAGAACTCCTAGGTTCTTAACCACTGAGCCATCTCTCCATCTTCAAGTTATATTGTTATTGGCAACGGTCCTTTTCAGTCTGTGTATGTTCCTGTGTGTGTGGTTATGTGCATAAGTGTGTGTGTGTGTGTGTGTGTGTGTGTGTGTGTGTGTGTGTATACATATGTATGTGGGACTCAGATAACAATTTCAGTTGTTGTACCTCAGGACATTCTCCACCTTGATTTTTGAGACAGGGTCTTTCGATACCTTGGAACTTGCTATTTGACTAGACTGGCTGGCCAGGAAGCCCTAGGAACCCTTCTGTTTCTGCTTTCCCAGTTTAGAGATCACAAGTGCATACCACCACAACACCAGCTGTCTTTAAGTGGGCTGTGGGTGTGCACTTTACTGGGAGTCATTTCCCAGTCTTGGATTTCCTGCATAATTATTCCTATTTAACGCCCCTCTGACTGCAAGCCGTTCCTGAAGTTCTGATGATGGAATCTCAGGCACCTGCCATCCTGCCATTCAACAAAATGTTCCAAGCTCTAATGCCCAGGTGATTGGGGGAGGAGATGAACCCTCAAGTTAGAGCCTTACAACCCCACCCCCCTCTGTAGGGTGCTCCCTTCCTCTGATATCTACCTGAGCGTCAGAGGCGAGCCATCCACCCAGTGCCATGTGGATTCCTTGTTCATGTCAATGAGCCCCATCCAAGTGTTGCCTCTCTTCTTAGAAGACTGTTGTAGAAAGTTCTAGAAAGGCAGAAGAGGAAGAGTCAGAAGGGAGCTCTGCCTCTCTCTTCTTTATAACACATGTCTCCGAAAACTCCTGGTGGGGGGTTCTGCCTGCAATCCTATGTTCAGCTTTATACCATGAGTTCTGAATGTCTCCACACCTGTGTGCTATGGGCAGTTTGCTGTCACTCACACACAGAATGTGGATGCCTAGCGATGCCATACTCTTATCTGTCTGGAGGTTATGCACACGTCCACATGAATTTATTCAAGGCTGGGTTAAATTGACTGCACCAGATCAAACAGGTTCATGATTACTGAATGTGTTACTGATCCCTATTCAGTTCTGAATCAAGCTGTGTCTCCCTGGTACTTCAAATCAGCAAGGCTGGTGATATTTGTCCCAGGAGAACTAGCAAAAGGCACACACCAGGATTTTTTTTAACCCAACAGAGGAAATTGTTAAGTGCTGGCCACAAATTTTAGGAGTTCCCCCAAAGCAGCAGTAACATTGAAAACTACAGTAGTGAGGCTGAGGAGCTGGCTCAGTCAGTTAAGTATGCCCCACACGTGTGAGGACCTGAGGTTGACCCCTTGCAAGCGTGTGAATGCCAGCTGTGATTGTGTGCACCTGTAACCCCGCACTGGGGAGGAAGAGATGGGAGGATCTTCGGGACTTGCTGGCCAGCCAGCTTATCCTAATCAATGAGAGCACCTGGGGGAATGCCACTTAAGGCTGACCTCTGGCTTTCATATGCACACACATGCATGAGCATGTATACATCAGAGGACAACTTTAGGTGTGCATCCTTGTGGTGACAGCTTGCTCGTACAAGTAAAGCCCGTCTGAAGTCTGGAGGTCTGTACAGACCAGGCTTTATTTGTATGAGCAAGATGTCACCACAGGCCAGGCAGTGGTGGCGCACACCTTTAGTCCCAGCACTCAGGAGGCAGAGGCAGGTGGATCTCTGTGAGTTTGAGGCCAGCCTGGTCTGTAAAAGCGAGTTCTAGGACAGCCTCCAAAGCCACAGAGAGACCCTATCTTGAAAAACAAACAAACAAAAAGATGTCACGACAGGTCCTCACCTTCTACCTTGCTCTCTTGCTGTTTACCACTGTGTTCGCCAGGAGAGCTGCCTACTAGCTTCCATGGAACCACTTCTCCCTTCTCCCTATCTTACTGCAGGAACACTGGGATTACAGATGTGTCTTCTCAAGCTGGACTTTGTGTGGGTTTGAGGGGTCCACATGCGGGTCCTCGGGCTTGCCTGGCAAGTGCTTTACCCATGGAGCCTTCTCTCTGCGGTCCTAGAGTGTGTCTTTTTGCAACGGCTCTGGCCTCATTCATACCCTTTTTATCCCCTCTCCAGGCAAGCAGGCTTCATTCTAGAACATTGTATCCAGCCAAACACCTATTCCCCTCAGCCAGTGGCCAGACATACCCCCAGACGAGGATTGGGCCCCACCAGGCATACCTGCTCTTCATCACTCTTGATAACCACAAGTTGAGCCCCCACCTTCTGGCAGGCAGTGGCTGAGTCATTCCAGGCCTTCTGGACCACAGAGAAAAAGTAGCAGCTTCCTTGGAAGGGTGTCCAGTCCCAGGGGCAGGGACGACACAGGCGGTCTGTCGGGGGGGGGGGGCAGGTCAGGATGCACCCATGCTTCTGTGACTTCAACCTTCAAGCCCTCCAGAATCAGGCTCCTCCCATGACTCAGCACTGTGTGGAGCCTTTTCCTACCCCACTTATTGAGTCCCTTATATGCCAGGAGAAGCCAGGAGCCCTAGCCCAATTTTTTTCTAGACTGAAAGAAGTTGAGGCTTAGAGCTCAGAATGGAGGCCACTAGACAGGTTTAACTGAATGCTTACTGTGTGCACACTCCTGTGAGCACTGAGTGCCTACTGTGTACACACCCCTGTGAGCACTGCGTGTCTACTGTGTACACAAGCTCTGTGACACTGAGTGCCTACTGTGTACACAAGCTCTGTGACAGTGATTGTCTAATGTGTGCATACCCTGTGAACACTGAGTGTCTAATGTGTGCACACCCTGTAAACAATAAGTGTTTACTGTGTACATACTCTTGTGAACATTGAGTGCCTACTGTGCACACACCCCGTGGACACTGAGTGTCTAATGTGTGTACTCTCCTGTGAACACTGAGTGCCTACTGTGTGCACACCCCTGTGAACACTGAGCATTTACTGTGTACATACTCTTGTGAACATTGAGTGTCTAATCTGTCCAGGCCCTGTGGATTTTGAGTGCCTATTTTGTGCACAGATTCTAGTCAATACCAATGAGATGCCTTTCTTAGTATTACCCTGCATGCCCATTCCACAGATGAGGAACCTGAGGCTTAGGGAGAGCAGTTATTTAAGCAAAGTGACTCTTTGTGGAAAACTTCTCAGTCAGTGAGATCCCTCATTCCCAGTCACTCACCTACCCCAGCCTTCAGCTGGGTCAGCTCTTGGTAGACCTTCTCCTGGCTGGACTGCTCCTGACCCTGAGAACTGGGGATGCTGAAGACTGGGCCAGGAGAAAGGGTCACCACAATTATTAAATGCTTAGTGTGTTTCTTGGCCTAAACTGGATCCCGAGGACCAAGACATCCTTTTTCCTCTCCCTGTTTTCCCCCTCCCTCCCTCCCTCCCTCCCTCCCTTCCTCCTTTCATTTCCTAGACAGAGTCTCATATAGTTCAGGCTGCATCAAAATTTCCATGTAGCTGAGGTTGACTTTGACTTCCTGATTCTCCTGCCTCTGCCTCCTGCATATTGGGGTTCTAGGAACGCATTGTCACACCCAGTTTTGAGCCTGCTAGGCAAGCATTCTACCACTCGAGTGACGTCTACTGTCTAGGGACCATCATTTCCAAGGTCCAAGGTCTTATCTAATCCTGTTTGATGATGAAGAGATCTAACACCCAAGGGAGACTGGGTTTCTAAGGCAGGTGCAGCCAGTGTCTCCCTGGGGGAACTCCTACTCAGAAGGCTGTGAGGACAGACATAGTTCCAGTCAGTTGCTCCTCCCTCCTGGGTCCCTTTGGTTGAAGAGCCAGACTTGGGGTCCCCAAACCTCAGTCCTGTCTGACCTTTGGCAAGGACGACCACCAGCAGCACAGAGAAGACAATGAGGAAGAACACCTGCAGTGCCAAGGGGATGTGGCTCAGGCCCAGGTGCCCTGTAGGACGGAAGGATGGAATTTTAGCCCCTTGATGTCCCTGACTCAATGTGGCTCCAAGACAGGCAATACATCAGCCTCATCTCCAAGGTACAGGATTCCAGATCTCAGCCACTACAGTTCCTGGAAGTCCAGGGCCCAGATGCAGGATGTGAGCTTCCAACTCTCTGGACCTCAGTGGCCAGAATCCCACCCTTCACCTCTCCAGGGACCCAAGTTTCTGCCAGGAGCTGTCCACTCCTCAGTCCCTCATCTTGTTTTACCTGCGAAGCTACTGAATCCAGAATTTGGTTGGAAGCTAAAGTCTTTGGTGGAGTACCTGGCGTGGCTGCTTATCAGCTGTTCCTCGTCTGAATGGACAGAGCATCGGTTACATACAGGGCAGGCTGAGGCACGCACTGCCCCATTGGTATCCCTTCCCCAAGCTCCTAGAGTGCCAGCCCAGACTCACCCAGAGGGCCGAGCTGCTTCTTCCCCATGTCCTTGGAATCAGTCATGTTTCACAGCCACTTCTCAGTGGCAGAAGCGGGTGGGGACCGCAGCTTTTATCCACCACCTTCCCAAATGCAGTCTTACTTAGGAAGAGAAATTGGGAAGTGGGTACTGGCACCGGAAGAGTCGGAGGGAGGAGGCAAGCATCTGACAGGGCAGGCTGGAGATGCATGTTCCAGGAATTTGAGAGGGGTGACAGGGCCTGGGCTTCACAGCGGAAAGAGCCGATTCATTCTTAGAATGTTCAGTTTGGAACTGTCTTCCATAAAAACCAGTAACCTGTAAAGCAAAGTGACGCCATTGTGTCTTTTTCACTTATGATGGGGTGTGGGCTAGCAACACCGTATCTCCCCAGAAACACCACCCCATGACGCCACACAATGCAGTCTTGGTTTACTGATGGCTTTACTCATGTGATTTCTTTTTTTTTTCCTCTCTGTTTTTGAGACAGGGTTTTATGTAGTTCAGGCTGGCCTCAAACTCCACATGTGTCAGGGGATGAACTGCCTCATCCCTTCACCTCTGGAGTGCTGGGACTAACTGAGCCACACCCCTCCCATTCTTAATTCCTGTGTATTCATTAAATTCTACAAATTATTTGGATTTCATTACATTTTACTTAAAATGCTTTGATCATTTCTTTCTTTCTTTCTTTCTTTCTTTCTTTCTTTCTTTCTTTTTTAAAGATCTTTATTATTATGTATACAGTGTTCTGCCTGCATGTACACCTGCATGCCAGAAGAGGGCACCAGATCTCATTACGGGTGGTTGTGAGCCACCATGTTGTTGCTGGGAATTGAACTCAGGACCTCTGGAAGAGCAACCAGTGCTCTTAACAGCTGAGCCATCTCTCCAGCTTTGACCATTTATTAATTGTACAGATACACTGTGACCATATTTGCCTCTGCCATGTCCCTTTCTTATATCCCTCCCATGCTGTTGACCCCTCCTTCTTCCCAGCCAGTGTTCATCCTATTTTTATGTTTTATTGTTTTGTCTTTCAAGACAGGGTTTCTCTGTGTAGCTTTGGAGCCTGTCCAGGCACTCGCTCTGTAGACCAGGCTGGCCTCAAACTCACAGAGATCCACCTGCCTCTCTGGGATTAAAGGTGTGGCCACCAATGTCTGGCTCTTTTATGTCTTCTTTTTGGTGTACAAGTATTATGTAGGTGGTCACAGCTGCTGTGAGTTCATCATGGCAACAGCTGAGTCAAGTCCAGAAGACTGGGTCACAGCACCCCTCCCCAGCCCTCCAGTCCCTCCTTCTCCATCCTCTGACTCTTGCATACTTTGCACCTTGGGCATCAGAGTAGGATTTAACGTCCTAGAATCTTCTATCCATGCATGGTCTTGAATTCTGCTCTGACACTCACTGACAAGTGTTAATGGGTTTAAGACACTTTTACAAGTTGCAAGCTTAGCTGGGTGGGCTCTTGTCCTGAATGCACCCTTCTCGAATTCTAACTCAGGTGAGGCCTGTTTTAATCTCTTTAGCAATTGTATCTTTCTTCCAGAACAAGCCTTGGCTGTCACAGTGTGCTTGTCAGTGTCCTTTTCCTCTCAGAACTGTACATTTTGTATTTTTTTTGGCCTCATTTGTTCTTGTTTTTACTGTAGGTGTGTGTAGGAGTGATTACTAACAACCACTTGCCAGGGTCACCATTGAGCTGTTTTGAGATCTCCTATACAGAAGAAGTTGGTCCGTCACTTTGAGTCCAGCATCAGGTGAGTTGTGAGGACAAGGACAGGAAGCTGCCACATTGTCTCTAAGCCCCCATGGCTAATTTTGTTCCCCTCAGAAACCTCTTGAGCTGGGCCTCCACAGGCCACATAGTCCTCAGCACTGCCGCCTTCCATCTAGGATGGCCCATTGTATTCCATGGTACTTCACTTACAGAGTTCACTCACCTTTCTAGACCAGAGACTTCCACATTCCTCCAAAAGCCAGCATGGTCAGGTCTGTCACAGCAGGACCACACTCCTGGTACCAATTTCTCTATTAGTTACTCTTCTGTTGCTGTGATAAAGCACCACGACCGAGGCTACTTACAGAAGGAGGAGTTTATTTGGGCTTATGGTTCCAGAGAGTTAGAATTCAGAATGGTGGAGTGAAGGTATGGCCACAGGAGCAGGAAACTGAGGGCTCAAATTTTGTACCCAGGCAAGAAACAGAGAACCAATTAGAAATAACACAGGTCTTTAAGATTCAAAAACTTCTTTTAGTGTTATTCTTCCTTCAGCAAGGCCACACATCCTAAACCTACCCAAACAGCATCATCAACTAGGAACCAAGTGTACAAACATCGTGAGTCTATGTGGAACATTCTCATGCAAACCACCACACCTGAGCTGGTTGGTTTCTGTCAACGTGACATGAACTAGATTCATCTAAGCAGAAGGGTCTCCATTGAAGAATTGCCTCCATCAGATTGGCTTGTGAGCATGTCTGTCTGGAAGTTTCTTGAACAATGATTGACATGGGCGGGCCCAGACAACTGTGTGTGGGCCTGGGTTATGAGGCCAAGCTGAGCAAGTCATAGAGATAGACCAGTAAGCAGAATTCTTCCATGGTCTGTTCCGTCAGTCCCTGTCTCCAGGTTTCTCTTTGAGTTCCTGCCTTGGTTTCCCACAACGGTTAACTGTAACATGTAAGCCAAATAAATCCTTTCTTCTCCAAGTTGTCTTTTGGTCACGGTGTTTACCACAGCCACAGAAAATACCCAATATAAGACCCATTCTTGTTACTTCCTCTGATTTAGGGTAAATGCAATAAGGTGGCCTGTCCTTGAGGAGGTGGAGTTAGGTGACTTTACAGAAGTGAGGTCATCTTGCCCCGTGCACATCATGATCAGATACATTTTATAATGTTTTTAATTATTCTTTGGGAGTTTCATGGATGTATACAATGTATTTTGGCCATGTCTACCTCTTCACTCCCTTGCCTCTGACTCATGCCAGCCACTCTGATCATACTCCTCTACAAACTTCATGTATTTGTTTTTTCCTTCTCTTTTCATAGCCCATAGAGTCCAGTTTGTGCTGCTAATATGTGAATATGTTTGGGACCGTACACTGGAGCATAATCACAAAGAAAAATGCTCTCTCCTCCCACAACAAGCATCTGTCAATAGCTCTTCAGAATGGGGTGGGACCTTGAGACCGTCACTCTCTTACTTACTGTAATGTTTACTGGTTTGATCTTCCTCAAGTGCATTAGCTTTGTCGTGTCTGAAGACACTGTTTTGCAGCAGTCCCTTTCAATAACTAGCTCTTACAACATTTCTTCCACCTTTTCTATGATGTTCCAAGAGCCCTTGGGGGATGTGGTGTGATGGTTATGGACCATTTACGGATGAGCATTTCACCATCACTTCTTCAAGTACATTCTGACTAGTTACGACCAGTCTGTATTAACCACCAATCCTTTCAAAAAAGAAGCTTCTCTGATGAGGGCTGAGGAGCTTCTCTAATTTAGGGGTATAAAGGTAAGTATTTAGAAGGCAGTTTGGTACTATATTATAATCAAAGTACAAAATAAAATACCAAATAGAAGTAGTTTTCCCTTAGGAACTTTGACCTCACACCTGGTGGTATCACCCAGGTTTGCAGTATTAGATGATAGTTCTATTCTTTGGAGTGGGCCTTAAATACAATCAGAAAGATTGGTTACTGCCATAATATTCATGCCACCATTGCACCAATGACCATATTTGCTTTTATGACAAATGCATGAAGATTTTTCATGATCAGAAAAATCTATTGTTGTACTGTATTAATTTAATGTAGAAAATTCCCATAGGATCCAGATGTTGGTGATGCATGATTGTAACCACAGGTCTTAGGAGGAGGGCCATGAGTTCCAGGAAAGACTGGCCATCTTATCATGTAAAATACATTCAGTCCAGCTTTAAAAGTCCCCAAAGTCTTTAACACTTCCAACGTTTTAAAAACCCAAAGCCTCTTCACTATTTTCATTTGCAAGATTATATATATATATATATATATATATATATTAAGAGTAAACATTTTCATTCTAAAATGGAAGAACTGGGGCATAGTAAGAAGCAATCTGAGCAAGGTAAGACCTAAATCGAGCAGGGAAAATTCCAAATCCTGTAGGTCCGTGTGCAGTATCTGGAGCTTGTGATGAAACTGGCTGGGCTCAAAAATGCTTAGGCAGCTTTATCCCTCCAGATCTGCTGCCTGCAGCACAGAGAGATTCTTAGGCTGGCTCCACTCCATGCCTTCAATTTCCTCAGCAGATGTCCCATGGCCCTGACATTTCCAGTATCTTGGGGGTCTCCACAGCTACTTAGGCTCCATTGTCACGACCTCACACAATGGCATCTCAGGGCTTCTTGGCAGAGACTCTGATCCTGCCACTCAGTGCTGGCCTTCCTCAGGTGTCCTCCATGACAACCCCTCTTCAAGCCTCTCATCTTTCTTGTTTCCAAAACCAGCCCCGTGTGAATGATGCTCACAGTATTTGCCAGCTCAAGAAAGCCCAGGCTGTTTGACCACTGCTATATTAGCTTGTGTGTGTTGATTGGGAGGAAGCAAATTCATTCCTGTTGCCTCGTTCAGGATGTCAGATTTCTTTTTAATGTGTTGATCTCTTTACTAGTGAAAGGTGTTTTGTTTTCTGCATTCTCTATGTCCAAAACTAAAACTAAGTTTTGGGATTTTTTTGTACAACTTTCTTCCTTAAAATATATTAGTTTATCTTTAAACTCAACTTCACTCAAGTTTTCTAGAGTAGGTTTTGTGCAAGGTGATAAATATGGGTCTGGTTTTATTGTTTTATTTGTGAATTCCCAGCAACATCTGTTGAAGATGTTTTCATCTTCTCCAGCTTATGTTTTGTCATCTTTGTCAAATATTAAGTAATATGTACTCTTGTTTGGTTCTTTAATTTTATTCTAATGGTCCACATGTCTCCTTTGTGCCAGTACCACATTGGGTTTGTATTTATTCATGGCTGTTTGGCTGTCCTAAAGATAAAGATA